CTGGTCCCCTGAGGTGTCTGCCTCGGTGTTTTTCCATTCCAATTTCTGTATTTGCACCGAAGTTAATGAGAATGATTTTTCTTATGTGGTGGTTTCTGTTTATATTAGTTGCAATCCAACTATAAGAGCTGCGCAATTAGATCGACTTCAACAAATTTGTGATGCTATTTCGATTCCCTTTGTGGTCATTGGTGATTTTAACACTACTCTGCATAGGAGTGAGAAGGATGGAGGGAATGCCTGGAATCCGGTCCAAGCTCTTAGCCTTCGCGACTTCATTCAGGACCTTGGTCTTCATGATCCCGGGTTCCAAGGTGATCAATTCACTTGGACCAATAAACGGATGGGGGTGGCTTGTATTCGGGAAAGATTGGACCGAGCACTCTGCTCACAGAGTTGGATTGATCGATGGCCGGACACCTTGGTTAAACATTTCACGGACCAAGGGTCGGACCATCGTGCCATCCTCCTTGCCGATAAACCGTATACTCGTCATAATCGACCCTTGTTCCGCTTTGATGCCAGATGGGCAGAAAACCCTGAGGTCCGGGCGATGGTGACTTATGTCTGGCAGGAAGAGATTCATGGAACACCAATGTTCCAACTTTGGGAACGCCTCAAAAAACTCCGCCATCTGCTTTATGATTGGAGTAGAGCAGGTACGACGAATTCCCTGCGCAACATTCATACTCTCCAACATGAGATTGACCGGATTAAGGCGGTACATCCTATTGACTGGGATGAGATTCGTGGGCTGGAGATGGAGCTGGCTAGACAATGGGAGGCGGAGGAAGTGTATTGGCAGCAAAAGTCCAGGGTGCACTGGCTTAAAAAGGGTGATAAGAATACTTCCTATTTTCACACAGTCACTAGAGCTCGCAGAAAACGTAATTTTGTGGCTGGTCTGCGGAACGATAATGGCGATTGGGTCACGGAGGAAGCAGGGAAGGCAGACATTGCTTGTGGCTTCTATAATTCCCTGTTCTCCTCGGAATCGCAGGTTCCTAATATGAGAGAGAGAGTCGCTGGCTTGCCTATAGCTCAGAGTATTACGGCAGAGATGAATGACTGTCTTACGGCGGAAGTGCTCCCAGAGGAAGTTCGCAGAACTGTGTTCTCTATGGGTTCTAAACAAGCCCCGGGGTCTGATGGGTTCACGGGGAAGTTCTTTAAGGCTTTCTGGGATATTGTGGGCAACACGGTAGTTGAGGCTGTTTGCTCGTTTTTTCGAACAAGCAGGATGCTCCGTAGCTTTAATCATACCTGGCTGACCCTGATCCCCAAAGTGGATAATGTGGAGAACATGAAACAGTTACGTCCGATTAGCCTTTGCCAATTTGTTTATAAGATTATCACGAAGATTATGGCGGAAAGGCTAGCCGGTATCTTGCCCCAGGTTGTCTCAAGGGGGCAGAATGCCTTTATTAGGGAGCGCCAAATTGTCGAGAACATCCTCCTCGGACATGAGCTAATGCACTATCTGAAGATCAAAACTAAAGGCAAGAAAGGGTACATGGCTCTAAAGGTTGACATGGAAAAGGCCTATGATAGAGTCGAATGGCCCTTTCTCCTTGCTGTTTTGGAAAAAATGGGATTTAGCTCTATCTGGCGAGGATGGGTATATGAGTGCCTCAGGTCTACATCCTTCTCGGTTATGATGAATGGCACTCCTTCGGGCTATTTCACACCTTCGAGGGGGCTGCGTCAGGGGGATCCGCTATCTCCACTCCTTTTTGTGCTTTGCACAGAAGGGTTCGCAGCTCTCCTCAATAAGGCAATCGCAGAAAAAAGGTTACAAGGAGTGAAAGTGGCTCCCCGGGCTCCTCGGATCTCTCATCTCTTCTTTGCTGATGATTCTTACTTGTTCCTCCGAGGGTCCCTCCAGGAATGCGAGAATCTGATTGTAGTATTGAACGAGTATGAGGAGCTGAGTGGCCAGAGGGTGAACTTAAGCAAGTCTGCAGTGTGCTTCAGCAAAAATATTCTAATACCAGACCAGGAATTCTTAGCTCAAATTCTGGGAGTTGGGGCGGTGGGCGTTCATGACAAATATTTGGGGCTTCCAACGCTGATAGCCCGTTCTAAGATGGCTACGTTTCGATACCTTGAGGAAAAGCTACTAGAGCGATTACAGGGTTGGAAAAGGAGGACTTTGTCATGGGCGGCCAAAGAGGTTTTGATTAAATCCGTCGCCTTGGCACTACCATTGCACGTGATGTCATGTTTTAAACTACCTCTCTCACTGTGTCGGCTCCTAGATAAGCATGTGGCCAGGTTTTGGTGGAATGTGGAGGAGGGCCATTCAAAGATTCGGTGGATGTCATGGAAGAATATGTGCAAAAGTAAGCATGATGGAGGTATGGGGTTCCGACGTTTCGAGCTGTTTAACCAAGCCTTGCTGGCCAAGATTGGATGGCAGATCCTCACGGATCCCCAATCCCTGTTGGCCCAAGTCTATAAGGGGAAGTATTACCCCCAGGGGACGTTCCTCACGGCTACAGCTCGCTCTCGGCCGTCATGGGGTTGGCAGAGTATTCTCTATGGTAGGGAGTTACTGGTCCAGGGGTTGCGATGGCAGATAGGGAATGGCCGGACGGCGCCTTTGCTTTCTTCCTCCTGGATTCCTCGCCTCCATCCTTGCCCCCCAAGGTTTAATCCCATGGTTCTTCCGCTTGGTGGAGAACCTAGAGTGGCGGATGTGATATGTCCAGGTGAGGGGCAATGGTCTGATGCTAAGCTCAGCTGGTGGTTTGATCCGCAGACCTGTCTTGCTATTAGAGCTATCCCGCTCCCTCGGCATGACTTAGAGGATCGTTTGATTTGGAATGATACCGCGGATGGGGTTTTTTCGGTTAAATCTGCCTATCACATGGCGGTCCGGATTGACCAGCAGGTTACACAGGGTAAATACACGGTGAGCTGGATGGACAGGCCTAGTTGGATTCGATTGTGGGAGGCTCCCATCCCCCCGAAGCTTAAAGTGTTTGTTTGGCAGATTTTTAATCGAATTCTCCCAACTACGGAGGCCTTAAGGCTCAAAGATGTGGATGTCCACCAGAGGTGCCCGGTTTGTTGGGAAGCAGAGGAGACCATGGAACACTTATTTTTGGACTGTCCGGTGGCTCGTGCGCTGTGGGATTGCTCGGGGTTGGAATATATGGGTCAAGGCTTGCCTCGCCATACATTCCCTCTTTTCCTTAAGCGCCTGCTAGCTCTTATTCATCAACCTGATAAGGTTCTTGCTGTTATTGCGGTACTATGGCGGATTTGGCGATCTCGGAACTGGGTGGTGTTTGAGGGAAAGCAGTTCGGGATCCCTGCGCTGATGAGGCAGTATCACCAGCAGGTGGATGAGTGGCTTCGTCTGCCGGGTGGCTCTGGAATCGCTGCTAGCAGGCCAGCGCCGCCTTTGTGTAGCAATGGGATTGGTAGTTCGGTAATCTGCAGGTGGGATGGGGCGACACGGCTGGGGTCTCATTCAGCGGGAGGGATAGTCCTTATGACTCCAAATGGGGAGGTTTTGGGGGCCTATGGTGTTCAATTTCCAGGTATTGATGACCCTTTGGTGGTGGAGACTCTGGCGCTACGTGAGGCTGTTGGGTGGTGTCTTGCGAGTGGATTCACCCATGTGTGCTTTGAGGGGGACGCCAAGGTGGTCATTGATAAAATTTCTAAGGCTGAGGTGGACGATTCGAGGATTGGAGCAATTCTGGAGGAGATAGTGTTGAGGTGTGCTCTTCATTCAGGGTTTAGTGTTCGGTTTGTAGGTCGTCGTAACAATAGGGTAGCCCATTTAGTGGCTAGAAAGGCCCTTTCATTGTCACAGGCTGCGAGTCGTTTGTTTAATTATCAGACCTGGCTGTTTTCCAGGGTGTAACTATCTTCCTTGATGATTCTAATATATTGAATATCTTTTGTCAAAAAAAAAAAAAAAAAAAAAGTGGAGAACAGTTCTGTAGTATTTCAAATTTAGAGTGAAAGTAGGAAGAGTAAATTTATTTTCACAGTTATTTATTTCTTATTCATGAAAAAAAAAAAGATACATCAATCCGGAGATTTAAATCATAATCTCTTTAAACAAGAACATAAAGCATTACCAATCACACTAAAAGAAAACCAATGACCGAGAAAAATATATGCTTTTTTTCCCATAAAACCTAAACTAGAACACGTATGCACAATTTAAATAAGCCTTATATATAAGATAATGTACTCTTTTTTTTTTCTTTCTTTCTTTCTCAAAGACTTCGCCGAATAAATAATACGTGATCATTTTTAAACAATTCATATTTGAAACTTAATAAGCTCATGACACAAGAAAGAAAAGAACACAATAAAAAAAATTAGATTACCAAATAGTCTCTCTATTTTTTTCCCCCTTCCTTAGGTAGACTTGGCATTATGTAGTCTTTTTAAACAATTCATGACTAATTACTTGCCCCTTCAGAAATAAGCCAACGAGCTAAAAACACAACAAAACAGGTCAGAAATCAATTTACTTGTGGTTGGTGAGGGAATATAATGCTTTTAATTTGATTATATGACTTATTATTAGTAAGCAATGACGTACGTTCATAGGAAATGACTCTTTTTTTTATAGAAATTTATGTGTTGTTGGTTGAAATTATTAAAATCCAGGGCCTTCAACACAACTTCACTCGTTGCAACTGGCACATCTTCATTGAACTACAATGAGCTTATTGTTATAAAAAAAAAACACAACTAACTCTCTTAGAAAGATTATGTTTTCATTTCCCCACTCAGCTAACACATTGTGTTACACAACTTCAAGGTGTGAACAAGTTTTTCACAATAAAGTTAACAAGAATCAATAAGCTTTAAAAAAAAAAAATTAACACAACAACGCGGAATTAATAGAGAAATTTGGCACCTCCAAAGGCTGATGGGAGCTGTCGGGCGGTGATTACAACATTATAACATAATCCAAACTGTCACACAACAAACCAAATAAAGAAGGCGAAAACAAACCTAGCCCGCTCTCACCCTAGCAGGTTAGTCTCGCGGTACATGAAAGCAAGCTTGAATTCGCGGCCTGTGTTAAATATGGCGCAAGGTCTATCCGTCACTAAAAAAGAAGTGTCAGCATAGGGAAGTCGAATAGGGTAGCTATTGGGATACACCTTAGATCGACAGAAATCGCCGTCATAATAAGCCATCATCGTCAAGCCGCCATCCGGGTGGGTTGTCTTTATAAACCACCAGTTGTCTCTGTCGAATGAGCCAGTTACAGTGTGCACATAAATCTTGGGAGGAGGCAGCCAATCTTTGGGGTCTTCATCCACCAAACAGAGCCCATTTGCTTGATGGAACTGCGCGCTGCTCCCATTGAAACTTGGCTGACACTGGAAATGACCGGATTGTATGTCGGAGGAACGAATCCAAGTATCCCGCGGCACCTGCCGTCTTCTGCCGATTATTTTGGCACTGGAGAGATGAAGGTGCACTAACAACTTAGTTGTAGCTGCTGCCTGCAGTGTCCATAATTGCTTACGACGTTGCTCCAGCTCATGAGAAAGTTGCAGCGTTTGCAATGCTTCGTCCTTCTTCATTATCTCTTGCCGCATTTCCGCCTCGTCCTTCTTCAACTTGTCCCATTCATCAATATCCACCGTTATCTTTCCGTTCCTTGTTGTTCTTGTTGTTGTGGCTTCATCTTCCTTCCTAGCACTACTCAGCTTCTTCACTTCCTCCCTCAATTTTTTCAATTCCTCGTCCTTCCCTTTCCTCAGCTTTACTTCCTCATCCTTCTCCCTCTTGAGTGTTTCTAACTCGTCATCCTTTATCTTCAACAGCTTTTGCAGCTCCTTGCTGTTTTTCTTCTCCAACTCTAGCAGCTCCTTCTCCTGTCTCCCACTATTCTCTTTTAGCTTTTCCATCTCCTCCCTCAGCTTCTCCAGCTCCTCATCCTTCTTTTCGACCGTCTTTTTCAGCTCCTCGTACTTCTCATTGCTCACACCACCGGTGGGGGTAGGTCGCTTCTCCCATCTCGGTACGAGGTACTTCAACACCGAGCGTCGCGGCCACATGGTGATGCTCGCCATTCTGATACCATGATAAGACCAGTTGAAAAGATCATTCAGTCGGAGATAGTGAAGCCCGAAAGCTCTGTGTTCACCCAACCCAATAACGTCCTGGAAGCAGAACCCCTGAGGGCTCACCTTCAGTTGCAACCGGGTGAGGTGTTGGGCTAGCTTGGTCAACACCTCCCATCCCTCGATCTCCCCGTGACCATCAAAGAACATCAGCCCATCGTAAGATTCCTCCTCCTCCTCAGCTGATGCTTTGTGATCATCATCTTGGTCCTCGTCGCCGTCGCTTTGAATTTGATCACGGGCGGTGATGGTGGCAACTTCCTTCCAATGACTCTTTCGGATGGAGGAAGGATTGACAGTAGGGTTGGTCAACTCATAGACTTGGAGGGTGGCTCTGTTCGAGGAAGCAACGAAGTGCTTGTCGGACTTGAAATCAAAGAGAACCATAGTATTGTAATTGTTTGCTGGTCGAGATGATTGTCGGATAAATTGGGATGTAATGCTAATTTAATTTGCTGGCTAAGAGGTGGAGTTAGGGGATACTTTCTGGTCCGAACCAGATGAGCTTGATTGGAGATTGGGATGGCAATCATGTTATATATAATAATTACGTCTTGATTACAATTAATTAGCTAATCGGAAAATGATATTTCGAAGAAAAGATTAATTAGCGCTTCATGATTGACTCAAGATATGTCTCAGCTTCTTCATCCATATTTTCTTTCTAGAAAATATCCTTTGACCTAACAAGAAGATACAACGAACGATTCAACGAAAAAAGAAACAAAGAATGACTTTGTCCAATAAATCAATAATACAAAGGAGTTAATTGCACCAGATACCACTTAAGTATTGATTTCGTTGCATACTAATCACTTATGTTTTTTTAGTTGCAACTAAACCACATAAATCGACTTCCGGTTGCACCGTTATATTTTCCGTCCTTAAACTTAACGGTGGGTATCAAATTGAAATTATCCACCTTAATTTGCACCATACTATTTTTCTTTCTCTTTCTTCCTCTCCACAAAATAAATATTTTTTTTAATAAAAATGAATGATTAAATAAACCCGATCACAATATTTTCTCCTTCTTTCTTTCTCTATCTTCTCTTGCTCTGTGGTTGTCGATCCCCTTGTAATTATTTATAGAGTTGGAGATGTGGGCTTTCGGCTGCGAACTTTGGGCTAAAAATTGATTTTCACTTTGGAAGTCTTTCTTTAGCATAACACTAGTAACAAAGCTATGATAAAACTTAACTTGGATTTCCCCATTACTTTATTCTTTTTATTGCTCTATTTTACTACTTAAGACTCGTTTCTTAATACTTATTCACTCATCCAGTTTAAAGCATCATCGTGTACCTAATCTCAATATGCTTCTTTAGTTTTTATCTGATATGTATTTAAACAATCTATACGAGGGGTGCCCAAAAAAATTTCCTCCGAAAGAAAAGCCTATATTGAGGTGCCAATTGTGCAAAACATATTATAAACGAAAAAAAATAAAATAAGGATTGCATTTCACAACCCACATAAGTTTAAAAAGTTTACTTTATTTGGGAGAAAGCTAAAGTTTAATTCAATTAGAACAAAAAAAAGAAATAATTGTAAATTTTGACGAAATCAATAAAGGAGGGTATAAGATAAGTAAGAGAGCGCTAGTAATACCGAAATGAAGATGGAAGAATGTCAGGGAAAAAAGAATTGTGTAAATGGATGCAAAAAATTTCAATTTGATACCTGTCGTTAAGTTTAAGGATGGAAAACATAACGGTGCAACCGCTAGTCGACTTATGTGGTTTAATTGCAACTAAAAAAACTTAAGTTGTTAGTATGCAACGAAACCAACACTTACGTGGTATTCGATGCAATTAACCCTAATACAAAGTAGTCTTTTATTAATTTTTTTTTTGGTAGACTTGGCTGAATAAAGGGTTAAATACAAAAGTGGCCATTAAACTCAACTATATAATGCAACTTAAGCACTGAACTAACTTTTGATGCGACTAAAGCACTGAACTAATCTAAATAATATAAGGTTAGCTTTTTCATCCATCACGTTATGACGCCATTAATTCCTTCCGTCCCATTGCTGACGTGGCTTTCATTTAACTCAGAAAATGCCAGTTGTGTGTGCCACGTAGGATAAAGAGCCGGGTCAGCATTGAGGTAGTCAAAATCCATATTAAAAATGATTTCCCCGCCGTCAGTATTTTTATTTTTTTTTATTTTTTTATTTTTTTTTAAGTTTGTTAACATTTGAGTTGGATACTATGCTCTCAACTGCTGTCCCCGGAACCACGACGCCGGCGCCTGCCCTCTTGCCGGCAGATCGGCCGCCTGACCCTTCTCGTCTCCTGGCGATAGTCGCCCCAGATTCTACACCAGTCAACGTGGATTCGACCACGTCCTCCTCTAACATGATTATTGATTCTGGTTCTTTGTCTTTGTCTCCGCAGGGCGCACCAAATGGGAAGGCACAGGATCGATCGGACCAAGATACAACAGGGGATCGCCAACAACGATTCTCCTATGCGGCAGCGGTCACGGGAGAGATGCCAATGATCCCTCTTCAGAATCAAGCGCGCCTATGGACGCCGGTGGGGGAACATGATTTGGTGCCCGGGAAACGTAATGGCGAACCGGCCCTGACGATCTCAGCGGACTTCAAGTCCAAGATTTGTGCACCGTGGCAAAGAGCACTTGTTGTTCGTCTTCTTGGGCTGCGGATCGGATTCACCAACCTATGCAATCGACTCAAAGGGCTGTGGCGGCCGCAGGGGAACATGGAGGTGAAGGACCTTGACCACGATTGCTTCCTAGTCAGTTTGGACAATGAACAGGACTACTACCGTGCACTCACAGATGGCCCTTGGGTTATCTACGATCACTATCTGGTGGTTCAACAATGGTCTCCCCGTTTCAAGGCTTCGGACCCGCTGCCGAAGACGATGATAGTCTGGGTGCAACTGCCTGCTCTGAAAATTCATTTCTATCATAGAGAGATCTTGACCAGCCTGGGGAACCTTATTGGAAGAACAATCAAGCTTGACTACCACACTCTCACCCAGCAGCGTGCAAAATTCACTCGATTAGCGGTCGAGGTTGACTTGACAAAACACCTGGTGCCCCGGATTTGGTTGGACGATGAGTGGCAGACAGTGGAATACGAGAATTTACCAGAGGTGTGCTTCAAGTGCGGGAAGATCGGGCATGACCGGAGTCTCTGCCCGGAGAACCAACCAGGGCCTACGCTGGCCTTGCCGACAGGTGGAGGGTCCCTTCCCAACTTGGCGATCTCACCGGAATTGACTCCAGCAGCGTCGCCGGCGGACAGCAATCCGGGCTTTGGACCATGGATGCTGGTGACTAGGAAAAACCGGCGTAATTCCAGGGAAGCACCTAGAAAAGGAAATTTTGAGAGTGATACAGGGAAATCTAATAAGGAAGGTCTTCCCCAGAGGGGGAAAGGAGGAGCGGATACAATTAACCCTCCCCAAAACTTGCCTTTACAAAAGAATCTCAATGGCCCGTTACCTCTGTCAGCGGCATCTCCTGAGCAGAAATCCCTAAATGGTAAGAAAGGAAATTCGGAGGCGAAACGCGGCAAAGAAAAGGCTGGTACGGATGCGTCCGGGAAAGGAAAGGGAGTCCTTGGGCCAAGGCCCGATCTTCAGAAGGCCGTCAATCCCTCCGGCCCGTCCAACTCCTTCAATGGGGCCTCTTCTTCATCTACCAAGACGGGCTCTCAGCCCACGGCGTCCCTGGGGCCAGAACCACTTGGCCTTGGACCGACAGGCGATGTGAAGGCAGCGGTTGTTCTCCCCCCCCCCACCCTTTGTATGTACAGTAACCGGGGAGAACGGCACCGTTTTGCAAATCATTGAAACCACTCAGAAGCAGATCGACAACGACAATGCCTCGAACAACCCCTCGCCGTCGGTGGCGGCCAGGACCAAACGCAACAAGAGCAAGAAACCAGCAAACAAGAAGTCGCCAGCGAAGTTTAATCCGGCGAAGCCGCTGCAAATCTGGTCCCCAATGAAGGAAAGGAAGCCTAAAGCTAAGGCCAGAATTGCTTCGCTCACTTTGCAGGAGATTAGTGCGTGGACGACAGCCGCGAAAGAAGTTGCGGGAAACCCAGGGGAGAAGGTGGTGGCCGGTATAGGCGACTCCAACGGGACCACAGTTGGTGGAAGCAATGAGGTCGAGCCCTGACCTGATGCTGGCTCGATTTGGGCTCCCTAGCCGTACCCTTCTGGTTTTTCTATGTCCATAATGTCTCTGTTAAAAGTACTTTCGTGGAATGTGGGTGGCGCGGGCAGTAGAGCTTTTTCCCGCGCTTTGAAATTGACTATCAAGGATCATAGGCCGGACTTTGTTGTGTTGCTCGAACCCCAAATCAGTGGTGATTCAGCAAATGCGGTCTGTGATAAGTTGGGTTTCCCCAACTCGATGCGCGTGGAAGCAGAAGGGAGGAAGGGCGGGATTTGGGTTTTCTGGGATGCAGGGGTCTTCACTACGCATCTCGTCTCCGCTTGTAATCAGCACATCTCCCTGCGGGTCTCTCAGGCTAATGGGTCGCAGTGGATTTTGACTGCAGTTTACGCTTCTCCCCGGCCGAGTGAGCAGAAGCATCTCTGGAACAGCTTGATTGCTCAAAGTAAGTGCATCGACATCCCGTGGCTGATCACCGGTGATTTCAATGCCATTAGCTCACCGGACGAGAGGTATGGAACACCGGTAAGGAACACTCTGAGACGGTGTGAGGTTTTCAATGAACGGATGAATCTTGCAGAGCTCGTTGATCTTGGGTACTCGGGTCCAAAGTTTACTTGGACAAGAGGTGATTGTCAGCAAACCTTCAAGGCCAGCCGTCTCGATAGGAGCATTTGTAACCTGAGGTGGAACACCGCCTTCCCGAACACTTCTGTTCTGCATCTTCCCCGTCTCCAATCGGATCACAACCCGATACTCACGGCAGTGGTGCAGAATCAAGGGGCGCAGCCTAGTCCTCGCCTTTTCAAGTTCGAGGCGGCTTGGCTTACCAATGAGAGTTTACAGAATGTGGTAGCTGAGTCATGGGAGCCTCTTGCCCCTTGGCAGGATGCCCTCTCCAAGCTTTCAAACAAGCTAGCCGAGTGGAATGTTCACACTTTTGGCAATATCAAGCTTAAGAAGAAGAGACTAGTGGCTCGTCTGAAGGGAATCGAGGGACGTCTAGCTTCATGTTTTGCCCCAGGCTTGGCCAAACTCCACACTAAGCTAGAAGCCAAACTGGATAAGGTCATGGAGCAGGAGGAGCTTATTTGGTTCCAGCGGTGTAGAGACAAATGGGTCAAATTTGGGGAGCGGAATACAGCTTATTTTCACCAGCAAGTGAACATCAGGAGACGTTTTAACAAGATTGAGGCCCTGCAGGATGACAACGGAAATTGGGTGACAAACTCTCAAGCTCTGGCCTCTCTTGTTTTTGAATTCTTCACTAACACGTTCTTGCAGGATGACTCCCCCTATGAAGACAGGCTGCCCAAGAATGTTTTCCCTCGATTATCTCAAGCTGAAGCGGCGGCTATGTTCCGACCTTTCAACATCATGGACATCCACAAAGCCATCTTTGATATGAAACCGTTTCAGGCGCCCGGGCCGGACGGATTCCATGCGGCTTTCTTCCAGCATTTTTGGAGCGTGGTGGGGAAATCCCTTTCAGATATGGCCATTTCTTTCTTTTTGACAGGTTCGCTTCCAGAAGCTGTCACGGAGTCCACTCTGGTTCTAATCCCCAAAGTGGAAGCCCCTGAGAAAGTGAACCAGCTCAGGCCAATATCTCTCAATAATGTTTGCCTCAAGAGTATTACAAAGGCCATGACCTGCAGACTGAAGCCGATTATGAAGAAGCTGGTGTCTCCCAGACAGAGCAGCTTCATTCCGGGTCGCCAGACTACTGACAACATTATTGTCGTTCAGGAAGTTCTCCACTCTCTCCGGAAAAGAAGGGGCAAGAAGGGGGGTCTGGTCTTCAAAATTGACCTCGAAAAGGCGTATGACAAGCTCAGATGGGATTTCCTTAGGGATACGCTTAAAGAGGTTGGGCTGCCGAGCACCTGGATTAGCTGCATCATGTACTGTGTGGAGCATAACCGGATGAGGATCAGATGGAATGGCGAGCTTTCTCAGGCCTTCACCCCGTCGCGTGGAGTCAGACAGGGAGACCCCCTCTCGCCTTATCTTTTTGTTTTATGTATGGAGCGTTTATCTCACAGAATTGATCAGGCGGTTTCCGAAGGAAAGTGGAAGCCCATTAGGCTCAATACTAACGGGCCGCCTCTGACACATCTTTTCTTTGCAGATGATCTCCTTCTGTTTGCAGAGGCAGAGAGGCGTCAGATCCAGGTGGTGAAGGAGTGTCTTGAGTACTTCTGTTACAGTTCGGGCCAGAGGGTGAACTACAACAAGTCTATCCTTTTCGTGTCCCCGAACATAGCCAGGCGGAAAGCAGAGCAGTTGAGTGCGCAGGCAGGAATTCCTCTGAAGGCGGCATTGGGAAGATATCTTGGGATACAGGCTATTCAGGAACGAGTGAACAAAGGGAGATACCAACCCTTACTGCTTCGAATTCAGAAAAAGATGGCGCCTTGGAAAGCCAAAAGACTTTCCTTTGCGGCTCGTCTGACAGTGGCTAAATCTGTTACTGCTTCCTTGCCTGTTTACACAATGAATACTGAACTAATCCCAAGCGGTGTTTGCAGGAGCATCGACAAGATCACCAGAGATTTTATTTGGGGGGATGAGGATGATCGGTCCAAGATGCATCTTGTGGCATGGGATAAGGTGACGATGGCAAAGGGGCAAGGAGGCATCGGTATCAGGCCAACACGACAGGCTAATCTGGCCATGCTGGCCAAGAGCGGCTGGCGGTTGATCCAAGAAAAAGAGAATCTGTGGTCTCAAATCTTGATCTCTAAATACGGAGGTCGGAGACAGGGTCTGGAGATCATCCAGAAATCTCAGGGAAGTTCCTTCACTTGGAGCAGTTTCTCGAAAGCTGCTGACTTGCTCAGGCAAGGCTGTGCGTGGAATATTAAGAATGGGAAAGGCACTAAGTTTTGGTTGGATCCGTGGGTTTTGCAGGTTCCACTTAAAGAGATGGCGATTGGTGCAATCCCGGAAGAGTTGGAGTCGGCAGTTGTAGCTGATCTTGTTCGGGATGATGGCAGCTGGTGCATTGAGTCCTTCCAAGACCTTCTCCCGCTTGAGGTCTGTGAAAAGATCTTGAGCACAGCAGTCGACAAGCTTTCGAGAGATGATGACAGGCTGTTCTGGTCAGCGACGGCGGATGGGAGATTCTCCTGCAAGTCAGCCTATGACCTCCTCACTGGTCAAAGTCAGCAGCCTAGTGATAAGATTTGGGAAATCATCTGGAGGCTACCGGTTCCGGAGCGGGTCAGGAGTTTTGTGTGGTTAGTCATGCAGGGGAGGATAGCCACCAACTCGCTGAGGTTCAATAGGAAGATTGCTCCCTCTCCTTCCTGTCTGCGGTGTCCGGATAGGCCGGAGACCATAATCCACATTCTGAGGGATTGCGGACCAGCCCTCTACTTCTGGTCGAGACAAGTGCCACAGCAGTATCAAGCGGATTTCTTTAGCAGGGATCAAGACTCTTGGCTTCGGGACAACCTTTGCAGTGAAAGGGAGTCCATTTCAGGTATTAACTGGCCAGCGTTCTTCAGTATGGCCATCTGGCTCCTCTGGAAGAACCGCTCGACAGCGGCCTTCAAGGGAGTTGGGGCGGCTCTTTCAGCTCCCTCTTTGCTTCACTCCATTACTGCCAAGTGCAAGCTGTGGAACGACTCTTGGCACGCCCCGGCCCCTTTCCCGAGCTCGAAGAGGCAACAGGTAGTGCGTGTAACGGCGGACATCGGATGGAGCCACCCTCCTGCCAGCTGGGTTCAGGTTAACACCGACGGGGCCTCCAATGGCAACCCGGGGCCGGCGGGGGCTGGAGGGCTTATCCGGGATCACCAGGGGCGCTGGATGGGAGGGTTTATGGCAAATATTGGCACGGCAACTGCAGGGCTTGCTGAACTTTGGGGTATCTTTTACGGGTTAGAGATCGCTTGGAAGCTTGGGTTCCGAGCGGTCAGGATTGCTTCGGACTCACAGCTAGCGATTCAGTTAATTCAGAATCGGATTGACCCTATTCACCCGTATGCTACTCTGCTGGGGCTTATTCGCAGGAAGATGAGCCTGGATTGGTTGGTCTACTTGTCTCACACATACCGGGAAGGGAATAGAGCCGCGGACTGGCTCTCGAAGCACAGTCTCGTCTATCCCTACGGTATGCATGAGCTGGCAGATCCACCGCCAGGCATCGTTCAGATCCTTCAGGAAGACGTTAGGGGCACTACTTTTGAGCGCCGAGTGGTGGCGAACTCCTCTATCTTTTCTTAATCTCCGTGTACTCGCTTCTTCTTCTTGGCTTTTAGCCTCCTTGCAATGCAAAAAAAAAAAAAAACAATCTTCTTTTTATAAAGTGAATACTGAATGTATTAAATATTATCAAAACAATATAAATCACTCAGCAAAAGAAGATACCAATAACAAACAAACAAAAAAATTCAATCTATGATTTTGCCGACAAAGAACAAGGGGAAGGAGACAAAGTGCTTTAACCATTTACTAGCCACTGAAAGTTACAAAAATTCCATCCAAGCCATATGTCTATGCCAATATAATTAACATAAAGTCATTCCAAAAGGGTTCCCTCCATGAATTTGTCTACTATTAGTCTGCAGCTTCATATGAATTATTGCAAAAGGCTCCCTTTCCTCCATGAACTTCCAGCAACATGTTCCTCGAGTATACTGCATAATTTTAGCTATGCTCT